ACTATATGATAAAGTGATTTTTAAATTCCTTGCTTTGTTAACGTACTCCGCAGGGTGTTATAAGGTTTCACCAAAATATCAACATTTTGTTTTCCCTCGTATAATTGATAGATGACAACTTTCATTTTTAATTTAGAAAGAGACCTTAAAAAGTCAAATAATATAGCTTCAAATTTCTTAGGAAATCATCAAAATTGGTCCACTACAACATAACATATAAAACTTTAAAATACAGGAAAATTTTAAGGTGCCAGTTTTTCGTGCTGATGAGTATAAACATAAGGACATTTCAGGATTAAGTCCCCAGTTTTTTTAACACCTCCAAATACTTTCTAGACGTGTAAAAAATCCTCCCAGAATCGCAAACGGGTTTTCGCACCAACCGCGGCACCGTCGATTCCATATTCTCCATCCGCAAACTACAGGAAAAAGCAAAAGAGCAGCAGTCTAAACTTTATGTTGCATTCATCGACCTAACAAAAGCCTTCGACCCTGTGAACAGAGATGCACTTTGGGCAATTATGAAAAAGTTCGGAGTACCAACAAATTTCTTACAGTGTGTAAAAGCCTCCACAGCAACAACAAGTCAAGGGTATCACCATCATGGATCACTGGGCAATACCTTCCTAACAAACGCTGGTGTGAGGCAAGGATGTGTCTTAGCGCCTCTCCTATTCAACATATTCATGGCAGCGGTCTCCATTATAGTGGACAGCAAACTGCAGGAGAGAAGTTTGGACATTAGATACAGGTACGACGGCGCTCTGTTTAACATAAAAAGACTCAGAGCAAAAACACGCACAAAATCACAGAACTTCAATACGCTGATGGCTGTGCTCTAGTTGCAAATATGTTACAGCAATTGCAAGAAATGTTGAACACATATACATGGGCATACAAGGCCTTGGGACTTAAGCTGAACATCGATAAAACTAAAATCATGTGCACTCCCCCGAAAGATCACAACAATGCTATAAAAATTGGAGAAGAACTATTGGAATATGTAGCGGAATTCAATTACCTCGGCAGATTGATTTCGGAAAAGGTCAATATCGACTCTGAAATTCAGCACAGGATTAGCAGCGCCTCAAGAGCACTCTGGAAATTAAAAAAAACAATTACAATCATGACTTGAGCACATAAACGAAACTTGCAGTGTACCGAGCAATTATAATCCCCACCATGTTATATGGGAACAAAACCTGGGTGCCGTACCGCCGACACATGAACGCATTAAACAAGTTGCAACAGAGACACCTTAGACAACTCTTAAGAATCTACTGGTTCCATCATGTCTCAAACGTATCGGTCCTTGAAAAAGCTAACTGCGAGAGTATTGAAGTCATGATTACAAAATCCCGCTTAAGATGGGCTGGTCGCGTATGCAGAATGCAAGAAAACCGCATACCAAAATGTCTGCTTTACAGTGAGCTTGTAGAAGGTAAGAGGAGGCTGGGTGGACAACTCAAAAGATACAAGGATATTTTCCACGAAAAGTTAAAGGAGATTAACAATCAGAATGAGTGGCAAGAAGCAGCTCACAATAAAACGGAATGGAGAAGAATTGTAAGCTCAGTTAACAGCGACAACCAAAAAGTAAAGAGGCAACAAAGCAATGAGATTCTTGAATGTCCGGAGTGCGGTAGACAGACAACATCACGTATCGGGCTTTTCAGTCACAGAAAAGCTCATCAAAGAAAATGCCTTGCGTGACCATCTTTTGATGCATGTCAAATACTCGTCAGCGAGTAATGGCAGTATATGTATGTATAGACGTGTTCCTGGAATCAAAATACACCAACCCCAAAAATATGTGCACTTATTTAAGACTCGCCCTCTATAGAGATTATTTACAAAAGACAACATTCAAATATCCTATAAGCAGACACCTAAAAATACATACGCCACCGCAAGAAAAAAGAACGTAAACGGCAACTTTTAAGTACCCTCTCCCACTTTGCGCAGAGACTCCTCCGCAGCAGAAAAAAAAGGGCGCAAAACGCTGTCGGCGTCGCATCTTTGCATAAATTTTAACTAAAAATTTGCAAAATACGTCGCATGCAAAGTAACCGTCTCCCTATTCAATATTCATACCGTCACATACACCGTCCCCGGCCGCCATTTGCATACGAGGTGTCTTTACTGGCATGGCGCGCACCCGCTGCGGAATACTGAAACGGAAACTATATCGTTTTTCCGTTAAAACGCATTTTTCAATTCGGAAATGGGAAGGCGTTTGCTAAAGCGGCCTGTCGATACTCTGCCACGCATTTGTCACTTGACGAAGGTGGGATAGAATTATTCATCGCAAGTAAAAGAGCCTTTTGTTTATTTTTCGCCGGGGTAGAAGAATTCATAATGTCAAGAACTAAAATTAAAGCCAAATAATAAAACAACATAAAAATGTGTGGTAGTAAGATCAGAAATCTAAAAAAATGAATGATAATTTATCAAAATGGTTATGCAACACTGCAACACTAAGTAAATAATGAAAATCTGTCAAAATTCTAAAACGCTAATCATTACTCAAAATGTTGAAGTTTAAATCGAGACCATAAATATTTTTAAAATATTAAAATGTCTTAATCCTGAGTATCCAAAATAGAGGTGGGAATTCTAGTTCCTTGGGAGGAACTAGTTCCTTAGTTCTAGTTCCTCCAGAGGAATAGTTCCTTGAACTAGGTCTTTAGTTCACAATAGTTCCCGACTAACATAGACATCCCCTTTGCTTGCTAATGGGTTTCGTTGTGAGTCAGAACTATTCACAGTATGATCTGTATAATTTTTATAATGTACGGAGATATAACGAGACATGTAATTGTGTATGTTAAAAACATATAGGTAAGTTTTATTGCAGATAAAAAAAATAAAAAAAACTCAATATAATTATTATATCATAATAATCAATCAATAATTATCAAATATTACAAAAATTTTACGAAAAATTGCATTTTTTCTCACTTCAAGTTTTTTGTTTTTGTCTAAAAATTCAGAATATCTACTTCGTTTTATAAGATATTTCTTTTTTTTAAATTTAGGGACTTAAAGTGAAACATTCCCACAAAATATTTAAAAACCAAGTTAAAATCAAAAACAGTATCCACGACAATTTTCTGTAGTAATTACGCCGCGCCGGCTGTGGCAATAGACAAGGCCGAACCCATCGTCGTCGCCTTGTATTATATCTCGGATCTGCCGACTGAATAGATTCCCGTGAACTAGTCTTTTAATAGTTCCTCTATGTCCGGATCCGATAACATACGGCTGGCACTCCCCACGCCTGCCTAGCATCAATCTGGCTGATCCGTACGTAAACTAGTCTTTTATTTAGTTCCTCTAGTTCATTTAGGTCCGGATCCAATAACATACGGCATACGGCTGGCACTCCCCACTCCTGCCTAGCATCGATCGCGTTGGCCCGATCCATTCGTACGTAAACTAGTCTTTTATTTAGTTTAGTTCCTCTATGTCCGGATCCGATGGCACTCCCCACTCCTGCCTATCATCGGGCTACGCGCGCTAGCCGATCCATCGCCGTCGCATATTATTCTATATCAGTCACAGTCTCGATCCCGGAACAGGTCCCGAGGAACTAGTTCTTTGAGAAACCAGGAACTAGTTCCTTTCATTCCGGGGCCGGAATAGTTCATTGGAACTAGTTCGTTCACGAACTACACACCTCTAATCCAAAATAAAAAAGAACATAAGACACTCAATATCAGGGCACTAAACACCCTATATATACTGCACAACCAATGATAAACAACGGTGATGCAATTCTATAAGCTTGAAAAATCTCAAAATTTCTTAATCAAATACTCAGTAATAAAAACAAACGGGTATAATATAATTTTCTCAAGTATATACTAAAAAAAATATTAATACAATCGCTGCGCCACTATATCTACAGTCTCACGTTGAGCGCCAAGATGGCATCATTAATATCAAATAAAAAATTATCGAATTATTTTATTTAATCAATTTGTTAATTGTAATCAGGGTAAATCGACAACTGGCTGCGAATACCATGGACGGCTCATCGAACAGACATTTCCATTATTGAAGAACTATAAATTGAGACACGTCTGGTTACCAAATTAAATCAGTCATTTTTTCGATATTTTGGCCATATTGCCAGGAGTGGCGTCTCAATGGAGAGACTGATGGTGGAGGGGAAGGTAGAGGAAGACGATCACATGGAAGGTCACCTAAGAGGTCACCACTTCTAGATAAAATATAATATATTCTTCTGACAATTTAACAGCTCTTTCTGCAGTATCATTAACTACTCTCAATTTCTTTACAATTTCTAAGCCTCTCATATATCCAGAATCCTTTAACCATTCCATATTGTCTAACTGCAGAACCCTTGTATCAATATTAAACCGTTTAAAAAATTGTAACGAATTTGAATTTATGAAATAATCAATGTGTTTGTTTATAAACCATTTAAAATCATCCCGATTAAAAATGAAGCGTTTAGAAATCTCAACCTCTTCGTCATTATCTCACTTTTAAAGCTTCAACCATTTTCTGTCTGATACTATAATAAGTATTAGAATTAACTACCTGTCATGCATTCAGTTGTTGTTCATGAAAGAATGAGTGGGAAAAAGCAGCTCACAATAGAACTCAATGGAGAAGAATTGTAAACTCAGTTAACAGCGACAACCAAAAAGTAAAGAGGCAACAAAGCAATGAGATTTTTGATTGTCCGGAGTGCGGTAGGCAGATAACATCACGTATCGGGCTTTTCAGTCACAGAAAAGCTCATGAAAGAAAACGCCTTGCGTGACCATCTTCTTTATGTGTGTCGAATACTCGTCAGCGAGTAACGGCTGTATGTATGTATGTATGTTTTTTATGATTCAAAATTGTTTATCATAGTGTCATGAAAATTGCTTCTTTTCAAATAATAGATTAAATTTTTCAAAAATAATCATAATTTTGTCAAAAAAGTTGAAAAATTAACATACAAATCAATTTATCATTCCTTTCAGGCGACAAACAACGAGGTAGTCTACGCCGAACTGCAACTGGCCCGCCCCAACTCCCTCGACCCGATCAAGAACGGCGGTCAGCACTTCGCCTCCGGTCAGCAATACGCCACCCTGCGCAAGGGCGACGACTCCACCATCTACACCCAGATAGACCACGGCCGGCGACCACCACCGCCACCCGTTCCCAACAGCCGAACGTCACCCATCGTGTCCCCCCGGTGACGGCGGCCATTTCCACGTCCAAACAGGGCCTGTACCATCGCGAGGTGGTGACGGTACGGACGCCGCTGATGGGCTGCCAGCAGGAGAGCTGCGTCTAAGTTGCGGGTTAATTTTAGGTTATGTCTAACTTGATTTTAGGGTTTTTCTTCCGATGTGAAATGTAAATGGTGTATTATTGTTTTAAGGTGGTTTCGTTGGTGAAGTTGTGGACTTTGGATAAGAGTAATAGTTTGTGAAAATCTATGCAGAATCAATTCAGTTCATGTTAGGGATGAGCATGAACAGTAACAGTCGTGGCAGGTCAATTAAAGGTTAATTCTCACCATACCTTCCGTATCAGCTCCCTTCCCGTTCCCTTCCGTTTACATAAAATATTTTATCATGTAAATGAATAGGACAGTGCACACTATCCGTTCCGTTTCCCTTCCGTTCCGTATCCTTTCCTTCCATACTTTTTTTGGCGGACGGACTAAAGAGTATCGGTAACAGCGTTGTCAAGTTCTTACATTTGTACCAGCTCTGTTAACATTTTGCTGATATTTATTTATTCTTTCAGCTCCTAATTAAATCTATTACATTTTTCAAAAGATACAAATTAGCTACGTATAGCGTCAATACAAAATACGGAACGATTATGGAATGGAAACGGAAGGTATAGTGAGAATCAACCTTAATGGTGTGATATACAGGGTGGTCCGAACTGTATTCCGAAAACTTCGGCAGCAGATTTTGCAGATAAAAATAGGTGAAAAAGTTCGTATAAATATATGTCCTAAAGTGCTTAGTTTCGGGATATACCCTCGAAACTTCTTATTTTTTTAAATTGATCATATTTTTACGAAAAAATGATGAACAGTTTCTCTTGAACTTTTGGCACAAAAATATTTCAAATTTATGATTTCAGTCTAATAACTATTTAGTCAACATATTTAATTTATGTTATGATGACAGGTATTGATAATTTCGGTTCCAAATATCTCGAGAACCATTACTCGTAGCGATTTTTACCAAAAGACCTTTTTTATGTAAAAAAGGTCGTAAATAAATATTTTTTAACACAGCAGTTTTATACAGATACGGACAAAAAGTGATTACTCTTCAAACTAGTTAAAAAATATGTAGGTGGCGCTCTCTACCAGTAGAAATCATATTGACATCAAAATCAAAGTTCCCATGTCAAAAAACTCCCAAAAGCCAATTTTTCTCCAAATATTGACGTTACTTCAGAAATTATTTGGAAAAAATCGAAATAAAAATGAAACTTCTACACCCTCTGCATATCCGAAACTAAGCATTTTAGGACATACATTTATACAAACTTTTTTACTTATTTTTATCTTCAATCAATGTGCTGCCGTTTTCGGAAAGTTTCCGGAATACAGTTTGAACCACTGTGTACAACATTTACGTTTTCTTTGAAAGCATGCTGCAAGTATTCTATAATTATAAGGGTATATGCAGGACAACCATCCATGGAGTCCAATTGGAATCCAGATCTCCTGATCTTTATGGAGGATTTCTTCTAATACCCGCTCAATTTCTTCGTAAGTGTCTAAAGAATAGTGATGTGGTTTTTTAATTACAAAACCTCACTGTTTCAAGGTACGGAAAGGTAAGAGACTCAAAACCTCAAAACCTTTTCAAAATGTTTATTTCAAAAAATAATTTTGTTTAAAAATGGGGCAACATGTTTCGGGAATCAATTACGTCCCATCATCAAGCCCAAAAATCTGAAATAATCGAAATCACAATCAAAATAGATAATTATTTGGAGAGTCATACAAAAAAGTCAAGTTATAAAATACAGTTATAAACAACGTTAAAAAACTTGAAAATTTTTTATTACAATTATTCGATCACAGTTATGCTATAACTGTGGTAAGCCGAGTTAAAATTACTATATTACAATTACAAAGGACAGTAATTATGAATTTAAGTTTAACAAGAAGATTAGAATCATTATTTTCCTCCTGTTCATTATTTTTATCTTTACACCTACATTTGTTTAATGCCGTGCCTTTTTTTCAAATCTCCGAATTATTCTTTGAACTGTTAATTATTCGGTAATGTCTGTCTGAAGATTGAGTTACAAACATATTAAATACAGCAGGGATGCCATTTCCAGCAAAATGACATTTAACCATCTTAAGTTGTTAATTATAAAAAAAAAGAACCATCAATAGTTATTTTTTATACAAGACGATAAATGGTATTTCATCGTCGGCCGAAAAGATTAATTAAAAATAATAATAATTAAAAATAAATATTTTTTTTCCATAGCGAGTTACGTTTTAAAAAATATTCAGAAATTATTATTTCAAGGAATTTATTACGAGTAGAAAAAATATTGTGCTGGGTTGGCGTTGGTTTCTATGTATTTTGACAAATAAATAAAGCTGTCTCTTTAGTTGTCAGTTTTGAGTCAATATTTTTTAATTTTCTTTCGTGTCGATTGCTGATTGAATTGGAGCCAGAAATGGCTCAAAACGAAATAAGTAAATTACCAACAGATATTCAGGGTAAGGCGACAAACGCCATATCCAAACTACTTCGATTTAAATCCCGAATAACTTATGAAAAGGAATACAAGAATTTTCAAAAATGGAAGCAATTAAAAAACGTGCGAGAAGAAGTAAAGTTTTTAACCTATCCTCGATGTTAAAGTGTCATTTACTCTACCCTTGCGGTTAAAGTACTATTTTATGTACTATTTTTGAGAGATATTAGGCAATTTTAACAGTTGCTATGGAAAAAAATTAAAAAAATGTACCGTATAAAAAAGAAGAGCCATTTGTAGTGAAATTATATTTTTTAAAAATAGATTAGATAAAAATATAATATCTGTATTTACTTCGCTAAGGCAAAACAATGTAATAAAAACAACTGTAACCCTTGTTGTGGTATAATAGTCTTTTTTTTTCATAAACTAATTAAAGCAGGAATGGCGGACCACGTTCCTTTCAAAGCACCAACGAAAGTTGTAACAATCGCAATAAAAAGAAAAATAAAATTGTGTTTCATCTACTTCTTTTCGTTTATACAAAGATGGCATGTGTAAGATAATGAAATACGTAATTATTATTCTTTAAAAAAACAGTAGAGTCTAAGAAAAATAGAACTAATTTTTTATTTTATAGACATCCCTACATCAAGGTATTATAACTTTGAAATTCAGGATAATCCAGGTCTCCCTGATGATTAGTAACTTTCTAAGTATTAAAGATACAAACTTGGCAAACTTGGCAGACTAGCGGTATTTTAAATTATCTTTAAACTATAGATAAGGAAACAACCGCCAAGCATTATATGTATAGCTGGACTAAGGCGCAAAAAAACATTTTTTAAACGGTAACGTGTATACAGGGTGTTTCAAAACAAATGCGAAAAATTTCAGGGGGTGATTCCTTGTTCAAAATTCTTTCAAGGTTCCTTGCTTCATAAACGTTGGGTCAAAAGTCAACCATTATACCAGGGAGATATCGCGGTACAAAAATGGCGGAAAAATAAAGTTGTTATTTTTTATCTTGAAAACGAAAAGAGATAGACCAATGAAATTTTATGGAAGCATTACTGTTATGACAACACACTTTCTGGTAATTTTTTCACTTTTTTAAAATGAGTGGAAGGGGTTGAAATAAACTACCCCTATCATTCTTGTTAACGAAATTTAAAGAAAAATCTTATCAAACACATGCCAATGCTTTAATTTGGATAGTTTAGTTTGTTTAGAAACTTTTTTACCTCTTGTGTTTTTTTGATAAAACTCACCGATTGGAAATTAAAAAATAAAATGTAAAGCATTACGTCCAAAATAAGAGTTATTCTACTTTGAAAATTTCCAAAAAAAAATAATTTTTTGTTTAAATTTTGAGAACCACTGGATCTTTTCTGGATTTTCTTTCTTGTAATTTTAATCTACTACCTCTGTTGCCATACTATAAAGAAATTAGGTTCACAAAGCGATAAGACCTGCCGCGAAATAAGCCGATCACCGAAAAACGGCAAGCTGGTGCACTGGTCTGCGTTTGTGTAATAATACATATTTATAATAAATATCTTTATTGTAATAGTTATTTACAGTACAAGTGTGTTTATGAACATGATTACAACAGTGTTGTAATCATGTTTAAACGCACGTGTCATGTACAACGTTTTATCTACAACCGAAAAATAAGAAAATGCTGTTTTAATTTTCGTTTATTAGTCGCCCACTTTTAACACCTTTAACTATGACATTTGTCACATTTTTTTAATTATAATTGTGGGGAATTGTTACCTGCTTCAGACTATAGTTACAAACGTTATTTATCAAGTAGAGAGTTTTTTTTCTAAAAAGTCGGTTTGCCCTGTCAAGTAAACGCGAGCACTTTTTGCCCAAAAAAATCATTTTAAAAATTACGATGAGCGATTCCGAAAGTCTCCCTTCAGATGTAGAAGTTGCCGCAGTACGTGCCACGGAATCATTATTGCCGGAAAAGTCGCGATCAAAATATGACTAAACATACAACCAGTTTTTGACATGGTGTGATGACAAAAAGGTGAAAAATCAATGCAATAACATAAATAAGAAGTGTAAAAAATGTATTATTAATATTTATAATAATTAGTAGTAGGAATTTGTATCAAAAATTAATATATTTAGATGTTCGTATTTTTTTTTATTATTATAAAAACTAGTTGTGTTATAGATTCATAACACCACTAGTTGTGTTATGAATCTCATAACGTAACTGAAATACTAAAAAAATAGTGATGTAAAAACGTTATAGCTAAACGGTTGTAGATAAAGGTTTATATTGCTAAAAATGTATTATTATCAATAATTAAAATTAAAGAAAGGGTTATCATAATTTGCCAAATTATGTTTAGTTAAAATTGTTTTTAAAAAATAGCCATATTTATAAAAAAAATTATCTGGAATGAGAAATACAGGGTGAATCTTAAGTAAGTGCACACATTTTCGGGGCTGGTAAGTCCCGATAAAACAAGTATATTATCTCTTTGCCATTTTTCAAATGGGTAACTCCAAAATTTCCGAGTTGTTTTACTTTGAAAATTTAAATAAAATATATTTGTTGCTTAAATTTTGAAAATCACT